CCTTAAGTGGGGAGAAAATAACTGCGGGTCCTGCATCTATAGGGCTGGTTGCTGGTAGGCTCGTCGAGGGATTAATTACATCGCCAAAAGACTCTTAAGAGGATGGTAGCGGGTAGATAACCTCATTCCCTCAAGCCATGCCACACAAAGGCAACATGAGCTAAGTGTATAATTCAAATATATATAATAATTTGAGGGATTTACATGCATACTGCACAAAATTACATAATTTATATATTTAATAACTAAAATTTACTATCTATATATAGCACTCTAAATTTTAAAATAAAAGTAAGAATAGCAAGTTTCAGTCTAATTCATCGCCACCCCGCCAATCTCATCGCCTTTCGTTGGTGAAATCTCATTGTCCTTCAATTATTGACGATAGCCGCCGGTCTCATCGATCACCAAGAACCAAGATCATGCCGCTTCTCATCTCCATGGTGGCGACCCTTTGCAAGGAGATCAAGTCACCCTGCACATTTTGTTGATCGCCACCAGTCTCGTGATTTCGATTTCGTTTGGGACAGCTTTCTTATTTGAGTTTTCTAATTTTTTAGTAAAAAAAATTCTCAAATTACTAAAAGATCATTTTAAAAAATAGCATAAAAACTGTCCCAAACAAAAACTTATCTCCTCATTGAGATTTTCTGTGATGAAATCTAGTGACTTTTATTAAGAGAGTGATGATATATGTAAATAGTGAATTTAAATATTATATATATGTAGCAAATCACCCAAACAATTGTTATCGAATAAGATTAATAGCAAGAGATTAAAACATCATGGATCAATTGTGGAGGGGATTGGAGCCAGTGGGCGCAAATCTCATCTCTTCTCTGAAGTCCACTTCTCTGCGTCCTTCATCGTAGTCGCCGCCGCCTCTGCCGCCAAACCGAATTCTCCGGTGGTGAAAATCATCTGTGCTTCCTTTCCATTTGATCTCCTTTGGATTCTCTTCCTTAGATTTGGGATGCAGTATTCTGACGAAGAGTAGGAGAAACATGAACATCAATAATGGCGTTATGTGCTTCTTCATCCTTTGTTATCCACATACACGAGGGTCTCTTCTTTTTCTTCTCCTCCTCCTCCTCCTCTTCCTCTTCCTTCTTCTCCAAGGATTTTCTTCTTTTGTAGAGCTGAAGGTACAGCAGGAAGTTAGATCGGAGGACCCAAATTTGCTGTCTTTGTCGGCAGATATTCAATTGAGCGAAGCTAGGAAAATATCTTCTGATGCTGCATAAGCTGACAAAAAAAATCCTTAAGCACTCAATTTTATAATTATTATAATTATTATTTCTCTTGTTTGTTTGGCTCTTGTCTTTTTATACTTCTGTACAAAAGATTTTTAAGGTGTGCATAACATATCAAAATGGGCACAACTTTGATTTGCCTATATAATTATTACGTGAAAAATAAATCACAAAAATATTAATTTTGAATTTTTAATAAATATTTACACATAAAAAAGGAAGAACTCTAAACTTTTTAGGATAAAATCCATTAAAAAAAATAAGGGAGCCTTGCCCAATAATTAGTATAATGCTAAGTTACAAGCTCCTAAAGAAGTCTAACAATGCTAAAGAGAGCAATGTAAATGACCTAGACTAAGAGGAAGGACTCTTGTATGCGATGAAGAAAGGTATACAAATGTGTTGGTATTGATGGCTATAAAGAGTTGAATGTTGTATATTTTATGGCCAATAAGAGAAAGATCGGATGAATCGAGCAATAATAGATGTCAAGTTATGACTAATGCATGGTGATAGTTGATGTAAAGCAATAGTAGTCGTTGGATGATAACAAATGATCGATGGATATCAGAGGATTGATAATTGAGGATCTATATTGAGGGTACTATTGAATATCCAATGACTATATGAGTATTAGATGAATGAGAACATAAAATGGATGATATTAGATGTTATGCAATAATAGGCTTTATATATTGTACAAAAGAATTTTGAGGTGTGTATCTCTTATGCAGCTCTCCTTGGTTTGTTGGTGGGGAGTTTGGCTCCCAACTAAGAGGTCTTGGGTTCGAGTCTCGCGTGTGTATTGTGTGCGTGTTTGGGTGATGCCTCTGCATTGAATGGTAGGCAATGACGAGCAATAAATGATGGTGGATGTTATATTGTAAGTACTAGTTGATGACATACATTTAATGTAGTTGTAGGTGGGCATTGGTTATTGGCGAACTATGAACATTGGAGGCTAGCGAACGATGGAGGTTGGAGTCTAGCAAACATTAAGCATTAGTTTTAAGCAAAACATCAAACATTGGTGGCTAGCAAACATTGAGTGAGACAATTCTCTTTGAATGCAAGAAATATATATGATATTTAACATGTGATCAATAAGAGGAAAAGCTGGAGGACCCTAAGGACACCACTTTAGCCATTTGAGTTTTTATAAGGTGTACAAGCTTTAGAATTCTCTATACTTCATAGTTCAAAATAATTCTCTATGCTTCAGAGTTTAAAAGAATTCAAATAAATGGAAAAAAAAACTACGAAAATAAGTCATTATAAAATTTAGGAGGGTTATTCCAATCATTATCAAAAATGATACAATAATTTCCTCATTGTTATCAATAAGAAACTCGCAAAATATCATCCTCTAATCAATAAGTGATTTAATGATCCAGAATAATTTCGTGAAGCTTAAAGGATCACAATTAAACCTACAAAGAATGGTAATCAAACGGCATGATGTATTCTTCTTCTTGAAAACAATCCAACATAAAAAACTAATACTAAATAAAAGTTTTGTATGAGTCATAATAATTCTAAGAAGAATAGAAATCAAATTTAATACTGTAAAAATAAGACATTTAAACTGTCATTTGGGTCAAAGAGTTTTGAAGTAATTATTCTAATGTTATAAATAAATAATGAATCGATCCCTTGTAAAAAGTTACGAAGGCTTCAAAAAGTGCAAATTTATGCATATGAATAGCACAACATTTTAAGATGATTCATCACAACTAGATAAAATACTGAGGAAACTCATGAGAGTTGGCTTTATGACCCCCTCAATAGTCGAAGAAGGGGTAAGAACCAATAATAATTGTGGTGCATTGACTTTGGTGGTAGCTGGCGGCCATGACATGAGAGCTTATATACATGGAGATTAAGGAAGAATGTGAAGAGTTTGTGCCACAAGTACGAGATTACTTATACTACTTCATTTGAGCTCATACAATCTCTACTTTATATGTTATTGAAATTCTATATACAAAACGCTTATTTTTATACTAAACATGTAAAATGCATAGATCAATCAATATTTTAATTAATTTTTAAAAACTTTAAGTAAATCATTTGAATATTTTTAAACTTAGAAAATTATATTAAAAGTTTAAAACTCACACCGAATCCTATGAAATATTTCATGTCATATCAACAAATTCGAGTTCCTATAAATTAAAAATAATAATAAAGAATGAAGGCTAAAGAACCCTCTTAATCCTAAAAATTTGGAAGCCATATTACCTTCAAGTTCAATTTACAGTAATAGCATTGCATGCTCATGAAAGATAACATTGTTGAAAGTTGATTTTGATTTCTTTGATTTTGCTCGTCATATTGAAGATGCTTATTATCCACAAACAAACATATCCAAATGTGATCCCTACGAAACAGCAGCCCTTTGAAACCTCTAATAGTATAAGGCTTCGTTTTGAGACAATTTTTTAATGTTTCTTAAAGCATCATTTCAGTACAAAAAATAAAATTTTGATACTAAAAAATTGCTTTAAAAAACAGTAAGAAAGCCGTCCCAAACAAAACCTAAGTTTTTGAAAAAAAAAAATTAAATTTCCAGCTCATGCATCTTTGTTATTTTCTGCAATAGCATGCAAACTGATGATATTATGAGTTTTCACGTTTGATCACATGCATCTTTGTTATTTTCCTACAGAGTTAATTGCCAGAAAGGCATAGAAAGCAACCTAACTGTTATGAGATTGATTTGATAAGACAGAAATAAGAGAGCTTGTTTTTGTGTGCAATGCAAATGCAAAGAACAGAGTTTGGATCAAATACTTGCTAGCTACTATTTATGTGAATGGTGTTAGAGCTTGAGATAATTGTTGGAAGAATGGAAAGATGGAATATGAAAAATGTTTTTGTTGTGGGATCACTATATATGAATTTTGAGTTATATTTTTTTTTATGTATTGTTGATAAGATATGAGTTATTTATTAATTAATTTTTTTTAAAATATGAGTTCATATAGTAATTATTCATGTGTTTAATCTTTAGGCATTTAGTAAATTGTAATTAAAATTTATGTAGCTAAATCTTTGAAATTATGATTAATTATTTAGCTATGTAGTATAATAAGGATATTTAATCCGGGACTAAATAAAGTTTTATACGCACATATATAAAAGAAGCTCATAAGTTGCCCGAAAGTCTTTACATGAAAAATATAAAAAAAAGAAAAACTACAAGGCCTAATATAGTTGAAAGAACCTAATATGAAAATAAACATTATGAACTATTGGGTTGTTTTATTTGGCTTCTTTTTTTTTTTTTTTTTTTTTTTTAGACTCGAACCTTGAACCTCTTAGTTGGAAGCCTAAGCTCTCAACCAATAGGCCAAGGAGAGTTATAGACTCGAACCTTGAACCTCTTAGTTGGAAGCCTAAGCTCTCAACCAATAGGCCAAGGAGAGTTGTGTAATGGAGAAACAATAACGGATAAGAGAGGTCAATGATGATTGATAACTGATGAAGACAAAATACCTTGTAAGGCTTTACAAAATACTTCAATTACATTCTTTCATTTTGGCCAGGGGATGCCCATCGCTGAAGAAAATGAACAGGTTGAAAGAAAGATTTACAGAAGAACATTATTAAAAATAAAAAAAATATATTAGCAACTTGCATCAAGAGAGTTCAGAGACTTTGATCGACTCAGTCAAGCTGGAATAATTAGCTATCACAAGGATTCAGGATTCAGTTTGATAAATCATATACATCTGCAAAGCAATATAATAACAAAGCTTCCTGAATCCATGAACCAATTTGTCTTGGACCAAAGCTTATATCATAATGCATGTTTTCACTTCTGAATCACTTTTTAATACAAACAAATTTGGCTGAGCATCCAGGGTCACTAAAGTCATCTTCCTGATTGCCACTACCAAATACGTATACTGTGTTGGACTATTGGGAGGTCAGAAAATGTCAGTGTTGCCAAAAACTGCTCTTGTCAGTCATCGGCGAAAAATGATGAAGTGGAGGAGCTATCCATGACGGAGAAGTGCATGTTCTGATCAGCTGGCTTCCAGTGCCTCTTCCTCTGGTTTATGAACCAGTTGTTTATTTGCTTTTGATCTAGCCCTGTTGCCTCAGCCAGTGCGATCTTGTCTGCTTCCTGCACCAGGTACGTGAAAACTTGTACATGTACAGCAAAAGTTCTTACATTAAGTACTACTACGTTATATCAATGATCCTAAGAGTTCCACATTATTAGGAGCCTTATATATCTTCAAAAAATTATCTTATCAGCATGAATCTCGAGGCAAAATTAAGTTGAAAGTTTCCAAAATTAATGTTATTGCAAAGAGTTTTATAGGATTTGAACTTGTTACTACAAGCAATTACTCTGGCTCCATCCTTCATGCAAATATACCATGTAAATAACTTAAATTGTTGAGCTGGTACAGTTCACTACTCGTCCACATGTTGAAATTGTTCTTAGGCACTCATTATTGCACTAATTGTATAATTTATTTCAAGCACTGATAAGGAAAAACAAACAAAACTATTGATTGCAGGGTCCACTAATCCAAACATGATTTTCTAATGAATTATGCCACAGATAAAACATGTCTGTAAACAGATACATTTACAGAATCAGAAAATCAAGAGGAAAATGTTTCAGCATTTTTTTACTTTTATTTACTTTCAAACTTCGAAATACCAAAAGAGAAGAAGAAAAAACGGTCTTACTGTAGGGTAGGGCCACTTGTAGTGAGCTGTCCACCATTCAAAAAGTATCTGTCGTGCTTCTTTGGGGAGCTTCCCTTTCTTCTTTTTCTTTGAAAATTCCTGCTTCAAGCTACTCAAATAACCGCTATATTTTCGGAGGAGTTTCTCTTTAAGATCTCTTTCTTCACCTTTTAGATGTGATTCCGGAGCCTCTCCTTCTCCTCCACTGAGTTCCTCATCCAAACAAAACTGTTGATTACAGGGTCCACTAATCCAAACATGATTTTCTAATGAAATATACCAGATAAAACATGTCTGTAAACAGCTACATTTACAGAATCAGAAAATCAAGAGGAAAATGTTTCAGCATTTTTTACTTTTACTTACTTTCAAACTTCGAAATACCAAAAGAGAAGAAGAAAAAACGGTCTTACTGTAGGGTAGGGCCACTTGTAGTGAGCTGTCCACCATTCAAAGAGTATCTGTCGTGCTTCTTTGGGGAGCTTCCCTTTCTTCTTTTTCTTTGAAAATTCCTGCTTCAAGCTACTCAAATAACCGCTATATTTTCGGAGGAGTTTCTCTTTAAGATCTCTTTCTTCACCTTTTAGATGTGATTCCGGAGCCTCTCCTTCTCCTCCACTGAGTTCCTCATCCGAAGATCCCACAGCCTCATCTGCTTTCGTGTAAAGCAAGATAAGAAGACAAAAGCCATAATATGAATTTTATCCTTCTTTTTATTCTACTTTTCATCTATTTAACTTTATAAAAAGTCAGTTTAAATTTGTGAAAAACACGTTTTGAAAATCAGAAGCCTTGCATACAAAAAGAACACAGTTGATATGCCAGTGCTCCATGAATGGTTTCTCCTTAGATCGTGTAAAATAGCTGCAACATCAATAAAAGCTCATGTGCCTACATGAGATTGCATGTAGAACTCCATGAAAAATGATTGTGTATGCTAAAGTAGAGATGTAAATGAGAAAGTATAAAGCAATCTTCAAAGATTTGTGTGTTCTAAATTTACATCCATGTAAATATTAATGTTATTTTGCATTTAATGATATAATAGATTGCATTTAGTCTTAATAGTGTTGAAAAAGGATACTATTTTGACATGAAGCTGGCAACTTTCCCACCTTATAGAAGCAACAAAGTTTTAGTATGCGCTTGGGACAACTTTCTTACTGCTTTCTAAAGCAACTTTTTTCTACAAAATTTCATTGAAAATAACGAAAAAAGAGTGGACAAAAGTTATCCCAAAAGAAGCTTTAGACATAACAAAAACTCTATGTAACAAGCGTAGGGAGATTTTAGAGTTGTTTGTCCTTGAAAAAAGTGCATGATTCATATTATTAAATAAAACTAGTTTAAAGCATAAGAATATCGAGGTTAATCCCACATCAAATCTATTAAAAAAAATTAAAAATGAAAAAAAAGAGCTAAAACATTAAATAAAAGAGTTTCTATAATTTATAACTCAAATCAACTTGGACCTTTTTTTTTGGTTACTTTATCTTTATGAATAAGATTAGTTTCATAACTGTTTGAAGAGATTTTGCGTTACATTACTATGAAAAAAACTCCACCAAAAGGAATAAAAGATGTAAAATATGAAAACAATGGAATAATAAGAAACAATATAAAAGAGATTTTGCCTGTGTACTCTTCACCAAGAAAAAAACAAAGCAGTGATACATATACAACTCTTTAATAAATTGTGTAGGTGCAACAACATAATTAGATCTAATTTAAATCCTAATAGTCGATTATCATGTTAGGAAAATACTAAAATGTCATGAGAGATTCACAAATAATGCTAAAATATGCCTACAATGCCTACTCTTCACCAAGAAAAAACCAAAGCAGTGATACATATACAACTCTTTTATAAATTGTGTAGGTGCAACAACATAATTAGATCTAATTTAAATCCTAGTAGTCGATTATCATGTTAAGAAAATACTAAAATGTAATGAGAAATTCACAAATAATGCTAAAATATGCCTACAATGCCAAGACACCAAAATTTTCTATATATATCTAGTAGCCAAGGATGCAACAAACACAATGCTCACTTGAAATAGGATCCCATCACTGCACTGGTTGAAACCTTTCCTAAAATAGCTAGAAAACTACTTAACTTAGTTCTTCATTAACCTTGATGGGCATTTATCATCTGTTCTATATAAATACTATTGGGGATGAAAGTAAAACATCACAACGAAACAAATAAGAAAATAGAAAAGCAGAGGAGAATAAAAAGACACCAAGATTTAACATAAAAAAACCAAAAATTGGAAAAAATAAAATGCTTTGACATGCATATTACTTCCCTCCCTAACTCTCCAACAATAGGGAAATAGACACTCGCTTTATTTTACTTTGATGAAATATCCCTAAGCTACATTGCTTCCTAAGCTCTACATTGCCTAAGAGTACCAACTAAGCTACAAGTTACAGTATCAATGTGTTTTCCATGGATTAGGAAAGTTTGAAAAGCTTAAAAGAGTGTCGAAAGTAAATAAATAGATCTCAAACTCAATAACGCGTAAAATATGGCTTTAATAGAGAAAAAATAATAAAAATTAATCAAATAGAATACTATCAATGATTAACCACACCACCACATCTGGTGACAAGCTAACTACACTACAAACTCACTGAGTTCCTCAATAAGCCCATCTTTGTTTCTATTAGACCATTTCTCCAAGGTTGAAGCCAATGTAAAGGTCATTAGATCAAGATCAAATAACTGTGATTTTCCGTTTCTCTTCACTAAACAAATGTGACTCCCAACATCACTTGGATTTTGAGTCCAAGATCTCTTCAATTTATGTTAACTAATAGGGAAAATCCCCATCATCAATCCAAGGTGAAAGGCTTGTTAAATTCCCAACCAAATAAAAATTGAACAGTCAGTAAATTCTTAGCCAATTTAGAGCCCATGCCTAGACATGCTCCATTTACGGCCAATTTGAAGTTAAAATCAAGTAAATGCCGCCTTGGAGACCAATCCATGAATGCTAACTCTTCTTAATAAGACCTCAATCATTGATTAGGACATTATTTAAAGGAGACCAATCCAACATAACATAGCCCAAAAAATCTAATTAATCTTTGGAGATCTCAACCAACATCATGTCTCCTAATTTTTAACTAGTGGGATTATAATTAAAACTAATTGAAATCTAATTAATAAAAATTCAAATATTAATATCAACGTATATAAGCAAAAAAGACTTAAGGCTATAAATTATAAGTATTCCACTGGCAAGATGGAATCATTTAACTTCAAGTTTTTAAACCTTAATTATAATGTTGTTTGAATTAACCACATGATTAACCACACCACCACATCTGGTGACTAGCTAACTAAAAGATCCATCCTTAAGGCTTCTCTACATTTAAATTTACAAGTCTCATGTTTTATAGTTCTCTACATAAAAAATCTTAATAATTTTAAAGCGTGGATCGCACAATCTTCAAATAAACATCAATGCTCTATTAAACTCAATTCTAGTTAATATGACATTAACCTTTATATAAAATGTAGAGAAACCAAATAGATTGTATTGACCTTCAGAATTTTCCCTAGGACAAATAACCTTTATTTGGGCTTTAAGAAGATACTTGAAAATATATTTATATTTGATGAGGAATCTTTAATCAGCAAGGACTACTTATCCTACGATTCTAAGTCCATGAGTGCCGTAAGAACGATATGAAACCTATGGGACAAATCGTCTAATTAAATTCCCGGCCTAGCCACACTTGGAGCTATGAGTCCCAACCTATGTGCCACTTTATATTCAAAACTAAAATACCCATCCTTAAGGTTTCTTTGCATTTATAATTACAAGTCCAATGTTAGAGAAATCTCCTGATTGGGAGATATAACTCCAAAATATTAGGCATTTAAATGGCCTCACCTAGGGGTGTAATTGAGTCAAGCTGACTCCTGGGGTGGGCCCTTGATAAATGGCTTATGAGTCAAGCTCGATGAGCTGAAAACCCAAGCTTGAGCCAGCCTTGACTTGACTCATTAACTTGTGAGCCAACTCGATTTAAAAATATTAATATAAAATACACTTAAAACATATTAGCTTACAAGATTTTAAGTACAAAATTGTCAAAAAGGTTTAAAATATATATCTCACTTTATTATAAGAAGTAATTTTTTTATTATTTTTCTTTTAATTTATTATAATTTCATCATTTTATTACAATAATTGCTTGAATCGTAATCATTTCCGCCCTTTTATAATAAATGAGTCAGCTTGAACTCATAGAATAAACTTCAAGCTAATCGTAGGATAAAGCTCGAGATCGAACTCGATTAATTAATCAAGCTCAAGTCATGGGTGACTCAAGCTTAACTCAACTCGTTTACACCCCTAGCCTCACCATATTTCACACTTGAATGAAGAGAATTCTATTGTTTCAATCACGTAGAAAATAAATTAAAAAAAAAATCACAACTTTCCTAAATATTAAGCCTATCTTAGGAGACTAAATTATCCTCATAGAAGCACATGAAATATAGAAAACGTACATTTAAAACGCCTCATGAAACATAGAAAATATATAAAACGTACATTTAAAGCTATGCCGATAAAAAGCTTGTTGCAAGAGGCAAGAGCAATATATCTTTCCACCTAGGGGCATTGTATTCTCTTCGTCCTCAAAGTAACGCCTCTTGTGAAACATGATATATATCAAGGTGCATTTAACACCTAGAAAGCTATATCACTAAAAACTTTAATGCAATGAGATTTGTGCCGTATTAAGTTACTTTTTGATGATGTATCTTGTATAAAGATGTTTAGATCCAACTTGTGTCCTACTCACCCATTGACCCATTTATAAGTTTCGCTTAAGTCACATGTTACAAGAAGGACTATATACAAATAAAATTACGTAACTAAATCTAAGAAATGCTTACAACTGAATGAATAAGTTTAACTAACTTGTAGCTATTAAATTACATAGAGAACTCATGGTTAATTCCAAATGAAGGAATTGTTTAAATGCAATTGCTAGCTAGCGACTTCACCTTGAGTTGCCGAGTAGCTATATTTGCTTGGGCTACTTTGACAATTTATTGCTATGCCAAATTCAAGTGCCACTACTAAAAATCTGGGGTTTCAGCAGTAGTTATTAGCGGTGGTTTGTAAACCTTCGCTATAGATTGGTATATGCAATGATTTGCATGGGCGATTTCCAAATCGCTGCTTTCAATAAAAGCAATTTCAAAATCACTGCAGTTAGTTCAATTTTCTATGGTTCGACTAAGGGAACATTGTCGTCGGCATCAAGGACCAAGGTAGCTGCGGTTAGTTTGTGGACCATGAAGCTTCCTTGAACGCGGATATGCCATACGCGGAATAGTTCGAAGTCTAGGTATAACCCAAATCCCCTTTCCCTATCCCACCTTTTTTTGTTCTCATCATCTTGGTTTTCATCCATTTGGGGCAAATGAGGCGAAGAACAAGCATATGAGGGAATTTGAAGGGGCATAGGAGCGGTAGGTGCTTTGCAAAGCCGATCTTACTTTATCTGGATAGGCTTCTTTAAGCGATTAAGAGATGCAAAGGTATTTTTCACCCGACTTCCCCAGTGATCATTGACATCCTATAGGGCATTGTTTTTTATGTGATTTTTATAGTTTATTGA